CACGAGAATCCGCTGCGACACTGCTTGCTGGAAATGACATATATGGCAAGGTTTTATGCATGGGCTCTAAGGAGACACAGTAATGTATATATTATGGCATGTATAGTAGATCAGAGATAGATGCCCTTTCGGCTGAGCCGCCGGGCGTTAATAAGTTGTGTGTGTGTGTATATACTACACATACATCTGCACTGGTCTGACATGGCTACTGAGCTGTACTGGTAATTATCACCACAACCGCCGTAGGCAGCGTGCTTTAATTGATAAATTTGAGACACTCAAATCCATAGACTTTGAAAACACATGTAAGGGGATAAGTAGTCCGCACTTTTCCACGTTGCAAAGGAGCGAAGGGCTACAAGCTAACCCTTACCGTTGCACCATGGAGCCGAGATTGCTGTAACTTATTACTTTCTTTCCTTACCATTCTGGAATGCGAAAAGGCAAGTTGGGGCTTCTCACTGGAAACCCTCATCTATTCGTCTAAAGGTGCGCCCGAGCCTAGTTGTAGCACGCAACGTCGCGCTAGCGCTGCGGTAATGTACCGAAATCCCGTTTAGTAATACGTTTAGGGCTCCGAAAGGAATAAATGAATGCGAATATACAGCATATTCATATTCGCACTGTAGGAATATGAATATATGAATTTTTATTCACGCGAATAAACGCATTATTCATATTCGCATTCATATTATTCATATTGTGAATTTTATCCGCATTAATACTTTGTCCGGTACAGCGGTTCTCGTATTACCGAAATACGTTAGGGGTTAATTTCAAAATTCCATCACTTCATCGACGGCGTTGAACCGTAGAATGTCATTTCCAAATATATGCTAGAATTCAAGATCCGCCTATCTACTAAGCTGCAGTGGATTGTTTTGAGGTACCATACTCATCCACAAGCGTCTGATCATGGAGACTTTAGGGCCAGTAGAAAAGAGCGGTTGAAATTATATATATCTATGACCCAGCTTCATATCATCTTGTTTGGTCTGTTTGACTATACCCATTAATTCCCGTAGTTTCATTGTGATCCATTTCAAATTTCGTCCATGCACTATGTACGATGAATGGCACGTAGAAACACGTTTGCCTCACAATATAGAGTCTCCAATGACCCTGGCTGCATTTTGTTTACATTCTGTTTACGCTCAATGTTATGAATAGCGCGCTGCAGAAATACAGAAGTGACCTATCGATTTTCCAGTTCATAAAGGGCATATAAAGCGCGAAAATGACCGAGATTGCCAACAATCATCCCACCCTCCAGTCCCCCTTTCAGCTCTGCCTGATTATTCAAGTAGCTCAAGGTATGTTATGCATTATTGTTGAGACCACTTTGATATACTGACCCAGAAAACACTAGCATGGCATCTACACCTGCTCCATTCGTGCGGAGGACGCGGGGTCTTCCACGCCGGGACTATAATGCTCTACACAATGGCCTGGTTTCATCACCTTCTGAGCAATCCGAGGAATCCATTTGTGAAATAGGACGCCCCTACTCTCCGGAACACTCTCCGTCTAGGGGCCCTGAGCAAACACCCCAATCTAAGCGGTCCTACTGTCTGCCTAGTTCTTCCCCCTCCCCGCTTGATCCCGCGTTTTCAGAGAGCACGAGCAATACGAGTAGCTTGCATCCGTATAAGAGACGAAAAACCAAGTCCTATTCTAGTTGGACCACTGAGCACTTTTGGACCACAGAGCTGGACAACACTTGGTGTCGACAGGGCGGCCCCTTGAAGAATGACCGATTGCTGGTTTGCAAGCACTGTAGCTGGTCCTCCAGGGATTCGGCGCGCTATGGTTCCACTTCGAATTTGTTGGTGCATCTCCAGACCAAGCATCGTATCAAATCCGGGAATCACCCTATATTGTTGCCCACGGCCGAAGGGAACCTCGACCCATTCTTGGAGTCGCCGGGGAAGAAGGCTGATGTTGAAAAGACGCTAGTCCAATGGGTCATTCAAACAAGGCAGCCTTTCACGGTAGTGGAGCATCCGGCGTTCAGGGCACTTATTGAAGCAACGGGGGTTAAGTTGCCTATCAGGACCGCTGACACTCTCTTCAATCGAATCAAGGACGAATTCCACTCAGATAGGGCTTGCGTGAAAGAAAAGCTTGCTATAAGCAGTCGAACACTCGCATTATCTCTTGACGTTTGGACTTCGGAGAATCAGATCGCGATAATGGGTATCATGGGTCATTGGATCTCCCCCGAGTTTGAAAAGCGAGAAGAACTTCTCGAGTTCACGGATATCAATGGACCACATTCTGGAGAAAATCTTGCGGAAATTGTGCTAAAGATGCTCGAGGAACTGGACATTGCGCCTAAACTCCTGACTATCACAGGAGACAATGCGGGCAACAATGGGACTCTCTGCGATAGTCTGCATGACGAGCTCTGCAAAAAGTACGACAACGATGATGACCGCTTTCGCATCAGGCCGCTAATGCGGTTCCGTGGACGACAGAGCTTTATCCCTTGCCTTGCCCACGTCCTCAATCTGATTTGCAAGGACGTGTTAGCTTCTTTGAGGGCCGGCTCGGCACGAGAGGCGAAGGCGATGCTGGACGACTTGGCCGTCAATACTAGCTCAGCATTTAGCTCCCTTCACAGCACGAAAGGAGCAATCATGAAAATCCGGCTTTTGACACTATGGATCGCCCGCAGCCCACAACGCCGCCAAGATTGGAAAGAAGTGTCACCAGGCAAGCAAGTCAGCTATGATGTTGACACCCGATGGAACTCAACCTATGTCATGATCCAAGACGCCCTCCGGCTACAGACTGAGCTGGGGCAATTTGTCCGGATACATCCAGAAGTCCAGGCCCTTCAGCTCACCGATGACGAATGGTCGACGCTTCAGCAAGTAGCCAAGATTCTCAAGCCGTTTTGGAACCACACAAACTCCGTATCAAAGACTCGCCCGACAATTGTGGAAAGTCTACCAATTTATTGGAGCTTGGACGACTTGTTGAACGACGTTCGGAATGCCGCGGGAGATTTTGAAGATGTGAACACTGAAATTCGAAATGCAGTGGAAAGAGGGATTCGGAAGATGAACAAGTTTGCCAGGAAAATGGACGACAACCTTCTTTACTACGTTGCTTCCGTGTTGGATCCGCGTATCAAGTCGTCCTTGATTGTATCGCAGATGAGTGACCAGGATGCAGGGCTCATCATTTCTCAAGTGCGCGAGTTTCTAAAGAAAGAATATCCCCCGGAGGCCTTTACCTTGCATGAATCTGAGAACTCACGTCCGCCGGGGATGTCGGAAACCATGTGGAAAACTCTGCGCAAAGTTCAGCCTGCCCAAGGAAAATTTTCATCTGATATCGATAAATATTTGGACTCACCACCGGTCAGCTGGTCCCACCATATGATCGGCGATGCGGACGAAGAATGGGTCCTGAAATGGTGGAGGGCCAACGAATTTAATTTCCCTCTAATGGCAAAAGCCGCTCGCGATTACCTATCGATCCCCTCAGCAGAGGTCGGTATTGAACGCGAATTCAGTAATGCCAGAGATATGTTGGGTCTCCGAAGACACTGCCTAAACGCAGAGACTATGCGATGGTTGATGCTACTGAGAGAACGGTATCAAGCATAAATTTCGGGTAATTCAAATTTCAAAGCCTCGTATTATTACGCTGCGTAAGAACAAAATGATGAACCCTATTGATGTATTGGGATGTAATGAAATGAATGGTAATGTATGGGATCTGCGTATTTGGGATAAATATGAATTATTCATTTATTCATGATTAATGCGAATATGAATAGAGGGGTTATTCATATTCATATTATTCAATTCATTTAATTCATATTCGCAGATATTCATGATTATTCACAAATTATCATATTCCTTTCGGAGCCCTAAATACGTTCAAGCTTCACGACAAAAACTCAATCACATGATGCAGGTCAACATGCATGGGTACCTTGATATTTTAGCTCCTATGGACTGACGCATAGGTCTCCATATAACACAAATCTTCGTCTTCAACGAGAAAGGTGACATTTAGAATGCTGAAGGCAAGTACAGGGCACGCAAACCGTTTTCTCCACACTGGCCCTCTGGGACAAGAACAGACGTCCCAAAAAGACAGAAGCCTTTTGATCTCAGTAAGCTGACTGAATCGAACTACTGTTCTTGTTATGCGCCTAGAAGCTTTATGACAGTAGTCGTCAAACCCGATATTAGCTTGGTGTCCGCTCATGAAACTCGATATCCATATCCTAGCCCCAATAAAAATGCCTCTTGCGCGAGGGAGAGCGTCAAGGCTGGTTTTAATCACCCCATTGAAGGTGTCTTTGGATCAAAAGTCACCAAAGTGGCGATTCTCTATTGACAGCATGCTCGGTCGATTGCATTGGCTAGCACCTAGCACCGGTAGGTAGGGCTTGCTCGGCGGTACATCCCCGATCCCAAACCAGTCACCTTGCAATAGGTCATAGTTATCGGTCAGAGAAGGCAGCCGTCGGACCACCATCGCGTCCGACAACCTGCTGCTAAGCATGTTGAGCTGTGATCTCGAACAGGACACGCCTGGGAGTGAGTAGTTCGGGTTTCCGAGGCACCATTAAACGGGCGACCCTCCATCTCTGGGCAAGATAGCCCGAATACCTGGACGCTGTGAAGATCTACATAATGATTTTACTAGCTCATGTCGAAAGCCATCTTAAGACCAATGTCGACAGACCGTTTCCAACTGACGCCTTTGAACCTCTCGCCCTTTTTAGGGATCGGCAGACTCCACAGGAGGGTCAAGGATACGATTAATGTTTTGGATCTGGCTCGCAAACATACCATGAATAGCAGCTATCTGGTGAAAACGTTTCCACATTCTGCCTGGTGCTTGAGATAGTTTAACGAAATATCGGGGCGGCGCGAGTCAAAATCCTCGAGTTCAACATCACGTGATAATATAGCGTGCAAAACTTTAGTCACGATTCCCGACCCCTGGGGGCAAACGGTCTTCCGCCGCCAACCATGGCCCTGCCGGACGCCAGCTCGGATCTCACCCTGCACACCATGAGTGAAGCGTTGCCCCATTTGATGGTTGGGGTTGACCTGGGAACAACATCCTGCACCGTCAGCTTCGAATGGATGGGTAGCAAGGTTTCTCATCTGCTCAAATTTCCAACCCACAGCAATGCCAAGAACAATGAGGAACTAGATGCTATCCTTGCATGCTCACAAGACAGATGGTACTATGGAGAAAATGCTCAATTTCGGCCCCATGCCGTCCTCTTTGAACATATCAAACTTGCGGCTATGGGACGGAAGCCCTATACGAGTATTCTGAAGAGAGCGTTGCGTGAGGCAGCAACAAATTATGGAACAGCCTTGACCATCTTGAATCTGTTCGAGAAGATTTTCTCGTACATTCTTGAAGTTTTGGAGGTGCAGTTACCCAAATTATCAGAAAGCAGTGTCTTCTCAAGGGGTCGACGTTTCGACGAAATCCAGAAATACTGTCGAGTGACGTATCCAGTGGAATACAACGTTTGGCTCCGAATGATGCTTTTTGAGGCGGCACGAAGCGCGGGCTTCGATGAGGTTGCCGGAGTCTCGGAACCTTTGGCAGCTGCTCATTATATTGCATTCGAAAGTGAACGTGCTCGATTACCTTCTCAAGCTATGTTGATCATCGATAGTGGCGGTGGAAGCACAGTTAGACTGCGGACTCCCTTGATACGCAACTCATCGTCTAATTCTTTACGTAGGATGGCGCAACGGTATATTTTGATGCTGAAGAAGTCAAGCTGGCCTGCCCTACTGATGGTGAGAACTCTTGCAAGCATTCGATGAAAATTCTTACTAACAGGTACACAGGGTTTGATGGAGGGAGTCAGATGATCAATGACACTATGCGCACATGGTTACAGCACAAACTCCCCGACAATGTCTACTTGAGAGATGATAAATGGTGGCCGAAGATTTCTCAAGAGATCGAAGGTCACAAAAGAAGGTTCGATGGAACCGCGGCGGTCGTGATCGAAGTTGTGAACGAACACGTGTCTATAGAGATGTGAGTGTATTCACTATTCGCTGTTCACTGCTCCCCGCCCCTTCCCACCGGTGCTCTCCTGAAGCAAACTTGTGATTGACTGATAAAAAACTTTATAGTGAGGAAATGAAGAGTCTCTTTCAACCCTTGATCCAGGGCATCCTGTCACTAGCTATGAGACAATATGCTGCGGCTAGAGAGAACGGCCACCCGCCTAGCGATTTGGTTATTACGGGCGGGTTTGCACGAAACAGCTGGGCCATAACGTATCTTGAGTCGGAGGTGCAGAAATCAATGCCTGGAATCAAATGTACCACCGAAGTTGTGTAAGTCGCCCCCTCTCCGTCAATCATCGATAAAGTTGGATTTTTGACCATGGAACTTTTAGGGTTGAGACCGTGGCTCAAGGAGCCCTCAGATATGCGCGAAACCCATTGAAGGAAACAACCACGGCTCGTGTTGATGTGGGTCTGTCTTACTTGGAAGACCGCACCCCTTCGGGGAGGCCCTTGGGAGGAGACCGCGTGGAAGATGCCATTGGCTGGGTCATCTTGAAGGTACGACACTCGCGAAACGTATTCCTGAGATCTCAGGCATCGTTAACTCACTGTACTAGGGTGAAGCCGCTGGAACCGAGAGTCGCGTGGTATTGATTAAAACTGTCTTTCGGGACAAGCAAGAGCGATCCAATAAATTTATCTCGTCTAAGGTCTGGACAACGACAGATCGGTTTGATCAAAAGAAGATTCAGCCCAACAGCTGGAACGACTGGGACTGTCCAATCACGTATCCAATTATTGGATTACGATCGGATTTAAACTGCATCGGCATCATCGAGGCCAAGATTCCACAAGACACATTATTTCCCGCCGGCAGCAAGCATGCTCAGGTGGAGGCGCGATTTCTTTTCACCGTTAGACCTAAGGACCAACTTCTCGAAGCGACAGTATTCCTCATGCGCGACAACTACACCCCATTGTTGCTTGAAAAGTCCTATGTGTCCGCCCCCGCCTGGGTCCCTCAATCAGAATTTGACGTCGACGGAGATCGCCATGATAGTCGCCAATCACCATTTCTCACAAGTGAGCCCTTGACAATCTCGGCAACAGGCAAGGTGCAAAAACGAAGAAAACGTGCGCCGAAAGGAGAGTCCACGGACTCAGTACTACCGCCTCGGTCTAGCATTGAAGAGATACCATTGCCTCGGAGTCGAAGAAAAATTCGACGTCTTGGGCCTCTAAAGCCACGCCGATCATTGTCATTGTAACGTCAAGCAATATGACCAGAGCGGACAAAGGGGCCTGACTTATGTTTCTCGTACACCACTACACTAGACAGTAGCTACGAGTTTCATCCATTGCTTCCTTGTTCTCTGGATCACCGAGGATCTTTTCCCAGGTAAGCGAGAGATGATAAAAGGATTGAGGCTTCCTTACTCGCTCAGAGCCTGTATCAAATTTGGATATGTGTAATGCAATTTGTCCTTCCGATTTGCGTCGTTCCCAGGTCGTGAAATAATGCCATGAGTCTCATTTTCTACAACGGCGTCTGTTGATAAACCTTGATCATTTAGGCCTTCCATGGTCAATTAAGCGGTTTAAACATTTTAAAGATAACGCACAATGATGAAAGGTGACCTCAGTAAAAAAGGAACGCTAAGTTCTACAAGAATGAATGAGCTTGAGAACGAACCTGAATCGCGTCAAACCCTCGAAGTTACGGCTAGCGAAGAGTATGATCGCCGCCTAAATCATCGGTGGCCCTTCCCGCACGCTTCCGCACGCAAGGTATTGAAGTTGAGAAAAAGAGTCTGGATCTTGGTCAAGCTAATGATGGGCAGGCTCTCTCCTAGGTCGAAGACAATGCTGCCACCTCCGTCCAGCACCATGAGATATTCATCAATACATTCATAGCTGGGCTTTCATCAAGAAGCTGTGATTAAGTTTTCAAATACATCACGAACTTCTGGGCAACATTGAATGACATACTCGTCGCTAGAACGCATTGCCTTCATCCTTGAAATCAACACATTGAAAAAGGACGGATGTCTGGCTATTCGCGGTCCACAAAACCAGACTTCGGGTGTGTTTCGCATCGGTGATTGGTAAATGTATGCGAATGGGATGTCTTATAGTATCAAGGTAAATTATATGAGACCAGCGTCATCGATGCGTCACGTCTTCACCTCATCTTCACCTCATCTTCACCTCATCTTCACCTCATCTTCACCTCATCTTCACCTCATCTTCACCTCATCTTCACCTCATCTTCACCTCATCTTCACCTCATCTTCACCTCATCTTCACCTCATCTTCACCTCATCTTCACCTCATCTTCACCTCATCTTCACCTCATCTTCACCTCATCTTCGATCACTCCGATGTAAATGTATGCGTCAGTCGTCATAACTTGGCTGGAGTCGATTTGGGCGACCCATAGCTTGCTGAGAGTAATATACAAGGCCGGAAGAAGAAAGGCGCCTAGATTGAAGAGCAAAGACCATCAATACCTGTCCCTGCTCTCCTGCAGATTAATTGACATTCTGGGGCTTGGAACTTACGTTTGACGGCCCCAGAACCTGCGAGGCCCTGAGCGTCTGACTGTCCGGTACGCTCTCATCGTCCGCACATGGAACATGTGTGGCTACGGAGGGCGTCTTTGCCAATGTAGTTCCTGGTTCCATGATGGCAGTGACCCAATAGCCAATTGGTAGCGAGGTCAGCCTTTGTTTGTGCAGGTGCTCAGACAAAAGCGAAGATCGGCCGGGACATGTTCATTGCACTCGATTCAAGCGCCCTAGATGTGTAGATTTGGGGAGAGGGAGATTGAAAGCGGGTTTCTTTGCGACTCCGCACCCGAGCTGCCTCGAGGTCTCCACGCTAATGTGGCTCACAATGCCCGAGCATCTTTCACATACCAACCAGAATGTGAATCATACCCCTCTCTCTTGTCTACTGGCCGAACCGTCAACCAGGCTTTCTTTGCATAAGTCGCACACAATCGATATCTCCCAGAGACGTCGATCTATGTTCCCGTTGCTAAGATGGGCTTTCACCATCCACTCGATCCCACCTTGCGCGCGGGACAAACAACACGTGCTACGGTGGCTTAATTCCATATGACAGGAAAGAACGATATGGCGCTACAACGAAGCTGCGCAGCTACAGCCTGAGCGGGTTCCAAATACGTTAGGGGTCTCTCCAGACGACAGACAGGCCACCTTTCCCCCTTGTCACGTCGCGATGAGCAACACGACGTGCTCGTCCGCGGTCCCTCCGTGAGATCGGGGCCGAGGGCTAAGAAGAGGTGCCAGACAAAATCGCTGGCGAAGGAAGGAGCCCGCTAGCGTCAGACGTGGATATCCCGGTTACCTAGGGAGGTCTTCGTAACACGGGCTCCGCACACGCTTCACGTGAAACACACCGGTTGAAGTACTACAACATGACCTCGCCGACGTCTTGTCCTCAACCGCTTCTCCAAGAGCTTGAACCTCATTGGTATAGGCATCAGCAGGGCGACAGGATCAAGCCACAGCTGACTTCCGAGGCCTGACGTTGGCTCACGATCCTTCGACCGATATCAAATACCGTTCCACCTAAGATGAGAACGAAGCCGCAGTTCACAACGCCTTGCCGAAATGAACCAGACCCCAATTCCATTTTCAACAGCTAGCACCAAAGAATCGAGCCCGCGAGCTCTCTGCCATCCAACGTAAAGTTAGCGGAGATCTCATCTCTGCACGATCTTCACGTCTGCGCTGGTTGACGTGACACTTTTTCTCTCATTCGCTACGAGCCCCATAGTATTTGAAACGCTCATAGGCATCGTACTTGAAGAACGCGACGTCCACGCGGATCGAAGCTTGCTGCTCGCGCAGGCCGTGATCTCGAAGCTAGAGAAACGAAGTCATATAGCATTGGACAAGTCTTCTTTCTAATCAGCTGCAAATCAGGACCCGTTGATTTATTTTTACCCGTGCCTCCAGCGTATCTGTGACATTGGTCTTGCTGGCAGATTTCCGCGTTTTCATACTGGATGCTGTCGCCGAATACCTAATGAGGAGCTATGCAATCACTGTTGTCCCCTGGAAGACGATACCTTCGGCTCACATTTACCATGATTCGTCAACTCCACCATGACATTTCATCTTGAAGGAGTGATCGAGAAGAAATGATCGGTGTGGAATGAGTTTGAGGATATGCCCCGAGGACGATCAAGCAGACACCCATACAGCCCAAAGCTGATGAAAATGAGCTAAAGGCCAGATATAAACACGACATGAAAGCCACCCAAATGCTAGGGTTCAACCTTCACGCGAAGGCGTGTCACGCTTTCTTCAGCTTTCTTTCTTCACCACCAACGCTCTTGGTCGGCTTCATTTGTAATTGGCCGACCATTGTTCACTCTACGGCCGTATAGCGGAACCAGAGACCCTTAGGTACCATTGTCTAGGCGAGAAAAAAAGGGGCACGTACCGTGCGGACCTCGGGGGAAACGGATGCGAGCCATTTGACCCTCTTCGCGCTTCCTAGTGAGACAGAGTGGGAAATTGCAGTTACCCTTTTGAGCCTAAATGAGTCAAAGCCTTAGTACGCTAGTGAAACCGGATCGAATGTAAGGTGGAGCACACACGGTACATCTATGGTCTTCTCGCCCCTTAGAGCTCGGTGGCGACAAGACGATGTACGAAATACTGACCTTGGCAGTGTAATACGTGGCTATTGCATGAATATACAAGCCGATTGTATTGTATTGTATATAGTGGAATTAACACCCAATGAAAAATTAATCTCTTATTTATTTCTGGCACTAAGGGGGAAAAATAAAGCGGGAAATCTTGACACACCAGCTAACAGCAATACAGGTTGTGACCTCATTTTCTTGACTGCACTCTGCAATCATCTCATCCCCGTTCGTAACGACAACGTTTCTATTTGTCCGCAGGATTTTTCCCACCAGAAGTGAGATGAGTACATCTATAGATATATTCACAAGACAGTATCATTCTATGAATAGCAGCACGTTTGCGCGAGAACAGCTCCCAAACAGCCCCTGGCCCGGAAGTATGACTGATCGGCTTGTTCTTTTTCTAGTAGCTTTCTCTAGCTCTGATATACCCAAAGATTTACCAACCATGCCTCGAAAAGTCATTTATGCTCGCCGCATATACAAATACAAGAACTGCCCGACACTTTCTTACTCAATTCTCAGGCGTCCCTGGTCTTCTCCGAGGGCTTTTGGGTGACCGAGAGAGCTAGTTCCATAAACTTAGTGTGAAAGAGGTGGCCACCTCGTTAAACATCCCGCATCCATTGCCACCATTGATTGAACAAATTCGAATTCCACAACTCATGGAGATCGCGGACAAGGTGAGGTGATTAACATGTAATGAACTAGACCAAATTGGTCCTTCAATTGATCGTTCATCTCCGTACGGACCTCAATTGGCCGCTAATGATATGAGGCGTGAAGTGGGACCGTAGCCGACTCCGAGCTTTCCGACCCACTGCGGAGCCCAGTTCCTGGTCACGCAAAAGTCCATCGCCCCCATCTACAGCAGTGGCACTTGATTCATATCTCGACTGGTTCATTGATCCTAAATCCGGATCAAACGTGCTATGACCAGCCGCTGCTCTAGTATTCCTGTCAGTGTAGCGAACAAGAGATGTAATACCCCTGATAGATCCACCTTTGATTATACCCTAATTTAGTGCGCAGTAACAAATCCCGATATCAAGTCTAGTACGTTTTCAGAGTCGGAGGCTGGCAAGGGACCTTTGATCTTCGCTGTGTCTTTGGGGAACAGGGTTCCTGAAATTTCAGTGGATTGGAAGAAGCGGTGCGTGTAGGTGTAAAGAAATATGACTTTCTTGGCATCGGGGTTGGAGGATGTCGCGGTCTCGTCATCATACATCTCGAGCAGACAAGCTTCCAGCAGTATTTATCGGTCAGTGTCCATTGCCGTACTTCAAGTTGTGGTAAATGCAAATACACTGCAAACATGGTACGCGATGCTTCTGGCTAGGGCATTCACTAAAAGCTCCATTCTGGTAGGCTCGAAACACGGCAGAGAAGAGATATCACGATTGGCTGATACGGGCCGGGTGGTGAAGGCTACCCATGGAACTATTGTGGTAAGGTCAAACCCCGCCTCTACGATCAATTCCGGCCTGTGCACATGAAAGAAAGAATGAACCTTGGAAAGTGGGTTAGCTGGCGAGTAAGCAGCGATCCCACTCTGATCAAACGTTTGCCGATCTTGCCGTCGATCTCAGCTCGGAGTAGCTATGGTCAGATACCTCTGGCGATGATTAATTTGTCACTGTCCTGGGATTGAAGTTGAATTTCGCTGCTGTGTTGATTAAGATCACTGACATCAAGTGTTCCATATGGTTGTTCGCAGATCTCATGGGCCTACCTAGGTCAGGTGATCGAACAGGCATGCGGGCTAGATCACCATTGCGCAGCCAATCTGCATATGAGCCCCACCTTCTAAAGCTGAAGCTATCCTGGCTGCTAGCCTATCCTTGTGTTTCGCGTGAACGGCAAGGTCGGCACGGTAGCAGTTCTGGGTGGCATACGTATTTCCGGTCAGCTTCAGCAACAAAGAATTTCGCTAAACAAAACCCGAAGGTTGGTTGGTCCGCCGGGCTGAACAAAGGAGTATAGCGGGACGAAAATCAAGATGGGGAAAGGGGCCAGTTTCGGGCCTAGTAGCGATAATCCACAACTTATGTGGATCATATACAAATTGAGGAGATCAACATGCGCTGTATGAGGTAGGCCGCATTGCTGTTCATATTGATCGCTAATCTCCGTCCTCACCTCATGCGGCTAATAATTTGAGACGCGAAGTGGGTCTTTAGACCCAGCTCCCAGCTCCCCGAACCATTGCGGAGCCCTATTCCTCCCCTTCCTCTATCTTGCCCCTTCGTCGTTGCTCCAGAATAACTTAGTACGTTACCGTAGCAGAACAGGGAAGCATCAAACATCAGATTGGATTTCAAACACATTGCAAGTTTGAATAGTCTCTAACAGCTTACAAGCAACCGAGTGGGCGAGAAATGTCGATCAGTGGCAAGGTCGGCGAACCTGTGATCAGAGCGGAATCTGCTTCTTCTGCACTCGCCGGCTAATAAGCCACTTCCAAAGCCTGTTCATTCCTTCATGTGCTCGGGGTATCAACCAATCGCGGAATCTCTTCCCTGTCGTAGGTTTCCAGCCGACCAGAACGGAGCTACTAACGTATGCCCTAGCCAGCAGAATCGCGTATCATGTTCGAATGCGGCTGTTGATCCGTAAAATTGTGATCGTCCGTATACATATGACGAATACACGGGGGTGAGCCGCGAAGTCTGAGTTTCTTGTACCGTGATTGAAATCCGGAGATTGAGCGACAAATTAAAAGTCCTAGTGCAGTTTGAAACTCTCGAGATCTAGCCGCGTAACTCAAAATGCTACACATATGATACAAAGGGGATGGACTGCAAGCTAGAACCTATTCGAATTGAATGTGAGGATCGTTCTCATATTAGAGAAAATCAAGTCTGGTAGTCTGAGAGTCATATGGCTCTTACATCGCTTGAAGATAGTAACATACCAGCCGATACCATCGCATATAGAGGAAAAGCCGTAGACCAAACCTAGTTCTCCACAGAAAACCGTTTGACGGCCCGCGCGCTTCCGGGCCATGCTGTACTGCACCACCAAGGTAAAGGTTGAATGGTTGCCTCGTCAGATACATGCTGCGCTGAATTTTAAGATCTCAAAACAAAAGAACGAACAACAGAGCCCAAGTCACGTACAAGTCCTCAACGCCTTATATGTTGATACCAGGTCTTCGATGAAGACTCAACTTGCTGATGCATAGTATGTCTAATACCACCAGTTCTCGAGTGGACATTGGGAATATCTCACAATGTAACGTCAGAATTTAATTAGCTCTCGCTGGCAACAGTCACGGCGACTCATTGGACAAGATAGTATGTGGCACCTACAAAAACTGGTGTAGTCAATCTAGACCCAGCGCTAAGCAAGGGCCATCTACGGCTTTGCTCCGTTGGCCGATCCCTGATAGGCGCGGTATCTGCCGATCATTTAAAGGGGTAAAGTCGGGACAAGGAACCGAATACGGCGAAAAATGGGGATTGAATATTCATGACAGAACGCAAATTACATGCATGCTAGGCCTGTAAACGAGGTAGGCAAAGTCATCGGGGGTTTGCGATGGTCGCAGAATGGTTTGTGCGGTGAAGCTTATCTGTTCGCAATCTCCGGTGCAATTTGATTCATAGGCAGACACTATGGGATGTGTACAGTACCAGGAATGCAGCTTATTCTCAACTTAATCAGATCGACCATCACTCAGATCAACCATGGATTCATGAATTAGCCAAGATCCTCAAGTCGAGACAAGTGAAGTATCGGAAAACACGGGCGACCAGTCGCTGACGCTCCGTATCCGAAGATTTTCCAATAGCTTGACATCCTTGGCAGTTGGTTGCCAGTTGCATATAGTGTACGCCACTTTTAATGTACGGAATTCAATTCAGTCTGAGACACGGCAGCCGAACAGGGTACATTGTAGGTGCATGCGCGTCTAAGACCGACTTTTGTCACCCTTGATCGACTGTGCATCGCAGAGGTGCGCTTAGATCCCGGGTTATACATCATGCATTCGCAGATCGAATATAACAACTACATTCACATCTAAGCCCAACCAAATTTGCTACCCTGCAATCTTCGGCCCGAGCTCCAACTAACTAACCACCTCGGAAATAGCTAGCTTAAGCGGAAGTGGGGGATGAGGTATCAATCCGGTCAAGAGCATACCAGAATTCGCGCGTTGAACTGTCTGAGCAAGATAATTTAGCCTGCGTGTCACGTTGATCATCTGCTTTTAATATTTCGCTCTGGCCACTTGATCAGATTGGGGTGATTGTGGGGTTCTGCTCCGGGGGTAGCGCCTCGGTTTTCATGTTGCATGCACAGAAAAGGAGCCATACTTAACCGAGTCTAATGATGTACATAGTCCAAGTTTCATTTTCCGGGCCCCGCAGCAGAAGAGTAATAAGGGCCGTGCCCAACTTGTCCCAGGTAAGCTACATACATACCTAGAAATGAGAATGACTTCTGGTCTTCTGGTCTTCTGGTCTTCAACGCTTGCCTGGGTAGAGGGAGATGAAATACAGTTATATTGATCTAATTCCATCAAAGTGATGACGTTATCGTGGCAGGTCCATTCAAAATCGATGCATGTCGCATCATGCTTCTTACGGTCATAAGAGGGTCTCCTGGGAAGAGCACGTCAAAACTCTTATTACCTAGACTTGATGTTGCCCAGGTTCCCGCCAAACATCCCTGCTATGGAGCTAATGCACGAGGCGCCTCAACCCACCTTTAGTGCCAATATAGTCACACTCTGGTTTATTTATTCGGAAGACTTCGATTTTTTGGGACGGGAGAACACACTAAATGAAGTACTATAAAGTGATGGCACGATCTCACTTTGATTTATCATTTCTGTTTATCACAAAACACCGCAATGGCTGGACGACAAACAAGGGCGAGTGCAGAGGGTAACCAACAGCCGTCGTACGACAACCCTGAAAGACAGACACCAAGGCAAGCCCAACAGCAAGAACTGTCCCCGCCGTACACGACGCAAAACTCCACCCAAGGCCAGACTACACAGCTGGGTAGCCAGGATGAACTTATGCCTGACGGCTTTGGCGAAATCAATACCATGTTCCCGCAGGAGCCTACTTACAGCACCTCTGGATTCTCGGCCAGACCCATGTTCGATCAGGGCCATTATCCAATCAGCTCCGCGCTCATTGACGAAGTGCTAAGCGGATTTATCATGAACTGTGCCAGAGACTTATACGTATGAAAGCCTCTTTGATCGTACGCTTCTAGACGCTAATATCTTATAAGCCTCGCATGAGGAGTAGTTTGGAGGACCCAAGTGCAAAAGCCACACTGGTCGGCCTCATGTCGACAATGTTTCGAGCTGAGATTAGCCACGGGGAGAGTGTTGGGACCAGTAACAGCAACAACAGTGTTGGCAATGAAGACAGTGCTTTCTGCACATGAAGAAAGAGAGAGGACAAGAGACCTGGCAGGGCAGGGGAAGAAAATGACGGCGGAGGTGCTGAGGGACGGGGGCTATTGTGTACGTTTTTTTATCAGCTGTAGAAAAGTTTGTATAGGATCAATTATTTCTATAATAATTGATGTACTCGGCACCTTTCACAGTTTGAATAATGTGGCGCAGTCAAACTGTTTTGGGAACCTTCGTTCTCATTGGCCTGGGACCGCTTAAATATTACTTAGCCTTTTGGACTTTCTGACAGTAAACGGGTATGAGAAGCCCCGAGCTTCGTCAAGGAAGTCAAGGACATTCCCACCAAATTGATAGCCATACTCGCTCACATAGGCAGCTGTAAATCTGCTCGCTATGCTCCGTCAAGCAAATCCAATACGTATATACTGAAATGGGGATGGCGCGATGGCAGTCTGGTCGAGCAGACAGCTTGACAAGCAGTAACAAAACCCAATAACAGGTCAGGGAAGAAGCAGAGGAGCATATGACGTATACTGTAGGTAATCTGATGCTATATCAAGAAGCATAATCATAAATCAAGAATCAAGAAATGAATGTTATTGTTGCTTGTTTTTCTCTCAGACCGAAATACGCCCTTGTATTGCCCCAACGGTAATGATACCTGAGGCACTAATCATATGTCACAATTACCTTACGAATACTGCATGAAACCGGATCTATCGATGATCCGTCGGCATAGCTTATGTAATCAGAATGGACCAATGGATAGCGAGAAATGGGGTTAATGAAAATACAGAGTCATTTACATCTCCAATTGGCCGGATACAGCACAAATCGTGACAGTTATGAGCCCGGTTCGCACCCATTAGGAATTCATTTGCTATCACTCTTGAAGCTATTCACAAGCTGAAAGGTCCTGAAAGCATCTTGCCGACTTCCTACCCCTGAATCCCCCCGATCCCTACTATCCAACCATCTCGCAGGATCCTCGCTTCATTGCTAGAAGCAGCATCCACAATGGAGACGGCATCAATGCTCTCCGCCCTGAAAGGCGATGAATTGAAAGACTCGTCACAATGGCGAGCATGGCACAAGAGGATGAGGGCATTCGCAATGAATCGGACCGTCTGGGACCTTTGCAACCCTGACAACGATGAAGCCCATCGTCCGGAGGCTCTGAAAGAGCCACGGGAGCCCGAGTATCCGCTGGATGCGGATGCGGAGGTTAAAAAGGAGTGGAGAGACCTCTTAGAGGTCTACAAAATTGGATCTAACCGCTGGGAGAAGCAGCGGAATGAGTATATCATCACCTTCGTGGATAGCAGTCTCCGTGACGCAGTCCTCGAATTTGATACCCCGTGTGACCGGCTAGTCTACCTGAAGACTAGCTTTGCGCGCACAACTGCGTATATGGAGGAAATTCGAATGAAATGGAGAGCTTTTTCGGCTGAAAAACCAACTGGAGATATCGAGAAATGGCTTGCTTCTTGGACTGAACTAAGAGAGCAAGTGGTTAGTCTCCAGCTTCCCGAAGCAAATAGTGCCAATCAGGACTTCCTACAAGCAGTTAAGGAGGTCTTACCAATCTGGTGGCAAGCAAAATATCAAGAAATCGTGATGAATGGAGCCTCGTACGACACTCAGAGTCTCACCGAATCATTCAGAGCTCTATATCGGGAAACTGGCCAGTCCGACCTATCACCGACAGCGCCGAAGGGGTCTTTCTCCACTTGGCAGGGTCATCAGGAAGCAAAGAATGACTCTAGGAAGCCAAAGGAAGACGTCCCTTTCGAGGAAAGACCATGCCCCTGCGGCAATAAGCATCCGAAGCATCAACCCACTACCTGCTGGGTTGTCAATGAATCAATTCGACCCGACGGATACCAGCCAAGGAAAGAGAATCTCCTGAAAACGGAGAAAGCTCTGTCGGCCGACCCGGCATGGAGAAAATGGATCCAAGAAACCACCGTCAAACATGCCGGCAAATGCAGTCCAATTAAACCTAGGAAACATCTCCTTTTCAAGCCAGGAAATTGGGTCACAAACTACTATCTCAGTACTACGCGACCGATGGATCCTCGACAGCGGCTCTGGTGTCCATGTCTGCAATGAGAGAAGCAGGTTCGTCAACCGTTACCAGCTAGGGAGACTCTCGCGACGGGAGACGGCGGTACAGCAGTTATTGGACGTGGGACGGTGAAACTCACCGGCGCCGACCCGATAACAAGGCAAGAGAAGACCATTACCCTAAGTAATGCCTGCTACGCACCTGGGTTTCATGTCAAGCTAGTATCGTACGCAAGGTTGCGAGAAAGGGGTGGTGAATGGTCTGAAGCTAAGGGGTATATCCAGGATCACCAGGGTATCCCTATTGTTAGCCTGCATCCTAGGAAGCAGCACGGGTTATAAATCTTTGACAAACCTAATGAAGCCATTCAGAGCACTGCCAATGCAGTGTCCTCGGCACCACGGCAGGAGAAGGGTCCAACGGAGCTATGGCACCGTTGCCTAGCCCATATACAGCCTGCAACCCTTAAGCAATTGCCTAAGATGGTCGAAGGAGTGATCATTGACACAGAGGAAGCAGCACCCAAGGTATGCGAAACATGCAACCTAGGAAGGTCGAATCGGCAAGTGTCTAGGAAGCCAATCGGACGAAGCTTTCGCCGATTTGGAAGAGTACACTTCGACCTAATTCAGCTTCCTCATGCCTACAATAGGCATCGATGGATCTCTCACTTTTACGTCGAATGAATGCGGTTTCACTGGATTATGACGCATGAGTTAAAACCTGAATGTCAGCTAGCCATCACCCAGTTCGTCTAATTAGCCAAAAATTGGTGGAACCTACCGATCAAGGCCTTTCATTATGACAATGAAATCTCGGCAGGAAGTGTGTCAGAACGAAGCTTGACGTCGGACGGCATAGTGGTCTATCATAGTCCACCAGGACACCCAGAAATGAATGGATACGCCGAGAGAGCAGGGGGTGTCATCAATTTACGTATGAGGATGCTAAAACTCGAAGGAAATCTCCCTAAAGAACTATGGCCTGAAGCAGCAATGGCAGCAGTCTGGCTGCTTAATCGGACGCCAACCTACCAGCGGGAAGAGAACCACTGGACAGTGCCATGGGACGAAGTCCGTAAGAATTCTGCTGCTGGCGAAGCTATTCCGAAAGTCAACCTATTCAATGTTAGGTTGTACGGAAGCCTTGCTTACTGCCGTATAGAAAAGCAAGTCCAATCGGATAAGATGAATACACGCGCTGAGGTTGGTTTCCTCGTGGGCTATCTAGCAGCAAATGTCTGGAAAATATGAGTCCCTCAGCATGGAAAGGTCAAATTAGTCAGAGATGCCGTATTCGATGAATCACGGCGATACTCACCGGATTTTCAACCCTTTCAACCTATCCCAATGCCATTAGGAAAGGAACCGCAGGAATTGGACCTAGCGGAGACTGAGAGAGCATTCCAGGCATCATTGACAAGTGGAGAGATGCCTGAACTAGAAGCGAGGACCGATAATGAAGACGTCCAGGAAGCACCAGGGAGAAATGAGGCTCTAGGAAAAGATGGGTTTTTCGGCCGAAAAACCATCTCATACAGTAAGCCGCCAAGGGGTGTACGAAACACCTAGTAGCCGACGGTTCGAAACTATATCGGTCTTACCAGGTGCATTCCCACAGGAAACTCCACTGCCGCCGACACCTCCACATGAAGAAGAACCTCCTACAGCTCGTCAGGGGGTGGAGACGCCGGAAATACAGGCCGGGGACCAGCTCCAGGAGGTTCAGCAAGAGACCCATAAAGCTCAAGAAAATAGTGAATCGGACGATGAAGCTGAAGCACAGCTGCAAGCGGAGCTAGCACCGAGAGAACTAGCCCCGAGGGACATCAACGGCGATCTAGATGAGGCAAATATTATGTCTGGACCAAGAAGAAGCTTAGCAAAACGGGATAATGCCTTCGCGTACGCCACCATGGAAGAACCCCCAGCTTTCCTCCATGCATTCGCAGCGGCCTTATACGCGGAGAAGCCAATAAGACGTCATCGGGACAATCTACCTGATCCCCCGAAGCATTGGAAAGACGTCATGAATCATCCATTTCAACAAGACTTCTTAGCAGCCATGCGGAGAGAGATCGACTCCCTAACGGAAAAATAGACGTATCAGGTGGTAGATCGTCCGAAAGACCGGGGAAAGCAGGTCTGGCCGCTGCTATGGGTCTTCTCATACAAATTAGACCAGGACGGCTTCCTAGTAAAATTCAAAGCTAGGATCTGCCTGAGAGGAGACCTTCAGACCATCACATCGGACGAAAAGAGAGCTGCTACGCTAGCAGCAAGGACAGCGAGAATGTTCTTTGCGTTGGTCGCGGCATTCGACCTGAATTTGAGACAGCGGGACGCTGTGACGGCATTTCTCAATAGCAGGCTAGAGAAGGAGGTATACACCAGGATCCCGGAAGGTTTTGAGATGCCAGGAAGGTGTTGGAAGCTTCAAAAAGCGCTATACGGGCTGAGAATCTCACCACGCCTGTGGCAGCAGGAAGCTGCGGGAGTTCTCAGCAGGCTAGGTCTGAAGCAGGCACCCGAAGACCCATGCGTCTTCACCGGAGACGGCATCCTCGTCTTCTTTTACGTCGATGATATACTGGTAGCAAGCCATCGGACGGCGGAGAACAGGGCTTATCAGCTAGAAAAGGATCTCGAAGCATATTGGGAGCTTACAGACCATGGAGAAGCTGAATGGTTCCTGAATATACGCGTTATTCGGGACCGACAAGCGAAGAAATTGTGGCTTTGCCAAGACAGCTATCTCAAGCGTGGCAACTCGCTACAACCTCACAGACCGACCCCCGTGCTAACCCCACTACCGATCGAAGATCTAAAGCCGTATGAAGGTATTGCAAGTGCGCAAGAAATCCACTTGTATCAGCAAAAGGTCGGATCAATGGGATACGCTACCACAATCACCCGGGCCGACGCCGCTAAAGCAACCAGCAAATTGGCTGAATTCCTAACGAATCCAGGACCCCAGCACCACCGAGCCGTCGATCGAGCTATCACCTACCTTTACACCACCCGATACCTAGCAATCGAGTTCAACGCGGAGGTGGACATGGACTCGGTGCAGCTAGTAAGCGATGCATCGTACGGTGATCATGCAGATCGGAAGAGCTCTGCAGGGTATATCTGCCAGGTCTACGGCGGACCTGTAGACTGGAAAGCTACTAAGCAGCAGACGGTGACGACTTCAACCACCGAGCTTCTCGGCCTATCTGAAGCCGGCAAGCAACTCCAATGGTGGAGAAGACTGCTTGGCCGAGTGGGTTTCGAGGCATCGCACGTCCTCACTATCGAGTGCGATAATGAGAGAACTGTTGGTCTGATCACCGCCGACGATGCTAGCTTCGACACGAAGCTTAGGCACGTTGGTATTAATCACCTTTGGCTGAGACAGGAAGTGAAGGCGGGACGCGTCGCTGTACGCTGGGTCCCAACAACAAAAATGGCCGCCGATGGCCTGACGAAGCTGCTCTCTCGACAGAAGCATGCTAGCTTAGTCAAGCTACTGAGAATGGTCGAAATTGAACACCTGGTCATGAAGGAATGACCTAATCGGAGCAGATTCGCTGGTAAATGGCATTGCCAGCGGCTCAGGATGAGATACTGAGGCCGCTGAAGGGGTGTGTCGCAATTACCTTACGAATCCGCTATATATCAATTTCCTCCTTCAATCAAATGCTCAATCTGGATCATTCGGAGCAGCTTGATGAAGTTCTCATGCTGCTGCCTCTATAGCAGTTTGGTTAAGCCGTCGGCGACCATTCTTGCCGTCGGCTTCCAGCGTAAGGCGATACGTCCAGCTTGTACTTCCTGTCTAGGCCATAGATGGTGAATATATATATGGTGAAGCTTGGTATCAAGACTGGCGTCCTGATTGGTGAGAAGTCCAATTGCTCTCTCATTGTCACATTCAGTTGTGATGACATGAGAAGCATCAAATCCTACATGACTGAGTAACCTTCTCCACCATTGGAGATGTTTCCCAGCTTCTTAAAGGCCTAGCAATTCGGCTTCAGTGGTTGATGTTGTCACCGTCCGTTGCTTAGTAACTTTCCAATCCACGGGTCCTCCGTAGACCTGGCAGATATAACCTGCGGAGCTTCTTCAGTCTTTATGATCCGCGTACGAGGCATCGCTGGCTAGCTGTACCGAGTCTATCTCTGATGTGCTACTATACTCAATGGCAAGAAAGCGGGTGGAGTAGAGATAGCAAATTACTCGATCGGCAGCTTGCTGATGCTGAGGACCAGGGTTGGTCAAAAATTGAGCAAGTTTAGCGGTTGCCTTTGATGCATCTGGTCGGGTGATCCAACCTTCTTCTGATATAGAAGGATGTCTTGGGAAGATGCCCTTCCATCGTACAGCTCCAATTCCTCGTTTGGTGGTGGCGTAGATACACTTGGCCGGTCAGTGAGGTTATACCTCACTGCAATACTAGTGATATAGCTATCCTGGCATAGCCATAGCTTCTTGGATTGCCGGTCTCTGATAATGCGGATTTTCAGGAGCCATTCAGTTTCTCTTTCTCCATGATCAGTTAGTTCCCAATGCTTTTCAAGATCTTTTTCAAGCATTTGGGCTCTCTCCCTTGTTGTCGGGTGACTTGCAATCAAGATATCATCCACGTAGAAGAAGACAATAAGTCCATCTCCTATAAAAACGCAGGGGTCCTCGGGAACTTGTTGAAGACCTAATTGGCTAAGCACTCGAGATGCTTCTTGCTGCCATAGACGTGGGGAGATTCTCAGTCCATAAAAGGCCTTTCGGAGCTTCCAGCATTTTCCTGGGATTTCAAATTTCTCCGGTATTCGAGTGTAGACATCCTTCTCTAGCTTGCTATTTAGGAAGGCTGTGACCGCATCTCGCTGTCTCCGATTAAGATCAAATGCTGCCACGAGTGCGAAGATCATGCGAGCCGTTCTAGCTGCTAACGTAGCAGCTCTCTTTTCATCCAATGAAATAGTCTCCAGGTCTCCTCTGAAACAAATTCTTGCTTTTAGCTCAATAAGATATCCATCTTGATCAAACTTATAGGCAAAGACCCAGAGCAATGGAAGGATTTGCTTGCCCCGGTCCTTCGGTCGGTCCACGGAGTTAAATGTCGCTTTCTCTGCGAGAGTGTCAATCTCCTTTCTCATTGCGGCTAGGAAGCCCTTTTGAAATGGATGATTCATAACATCTTTCCAATGTTTTGGAACTTCTCAAAAGGTCATCTCTGTGACGTCTGATTGGCCTATTTGCGTATAACCCAGCCGCGAATGCATGTAGATATGCTGGAGGTTCAGTCATGGCAATAGCATTGTAGGCGTAGGCATTGTCTCTTTTTGCCTGCCTTCTTCGTGACCCAGAGATAATGTTCGTGTCTTCGATATCTCCATTGATGTTTCTCGGTGCTAACTTAGCAGTCCTGCCTGTAGTTGTAATTAGACCTCGCCCTTACCCGCGGGTGACCCTCTTAGGGTCGAGGGTCCGACATTCTCTGTTGTTTTATAAGTGATGCTTCAGTGTTCTTGTTGTTAAGGGAGGTTGATTGTGTGTTGTGTTGCATGTTATCTAAGATACAAGTAGGCTGGTGAACAGGTATTAGGCCTCGCCAAGCGCGGGTTGGGTTTCGACTCTTGACCCAAAACCCGCCAATAAATTTGAATACGTGTAATATATACCATATTACATATATTAATATGAGCTACAGTACTGTGTGTATTACGTCCGTTATTCCGTAAAATACGGACTCATGGGTTCTTGGCGGGTTCGCGGGTGCCCATAGGGTACCCGAAAACAATGTGGCCATCACGTGACCTACGCTCACTTAACGCAGAGCTACATGCTCATACAGACAAGTGGTTTCCGGCGATACTAGTGATCGGCTGATCTCAGATTTTGGAATTACCTCCACGGATTTCTACGAGTACAACACTGCGTCAGATCTCTGTTCACCAGTCGTCGTGGGTATCTATGTTTGCTGTTCTGCGGGATCTCAGACTTCTCACCATTTGCTTATTCGAATGGCACCTGTTACACGTACAGTGTACAATCTGGCGACAGTTATTCCTCTCTGGCTAGCTCATATAGCCTCACTGAAGCTGAAATCGAGTTCTACAACAATAAATCATGGGCCTGGTATGGATGCAGCGAATTGCAGGCTGGTCAGAACATCTGTTTGTCTACAGGCAACCCTCCATACCCTTTGCCAATTACCAATGCAGAATGCGGACCTCAGGTTGCGGGAACTGTTTTCAATAGCACCAACTCTGATGACTGGGAGGCCTACATTTCATGTCCATTGAATGCCTGTTGCGATGCCTTTGGCCAGTGCGGTATTACACCAGCTTACTGTAATCGCACCTTTGCGGACAACAACAACCCTGGAACCGCAGCGAATGGATCATACGGATGCCTTTCGAATTGTGGAACAACAACCACAAACTGGGCAGTTCCTCCTTCAAGCTTCTACAAGGTCGGCTACTACGAGCCCACTAGTGTGGATCAATCCTGTCTCCAGATGAGTCCGCTCTCAATTGACACATATGTATTGACTCACGTCTATTATGCGTTTGGCAGTATTTCTTCGGACTTCTCCATCAATGTGGATGGATATGAAACAGAGTTCTCGGAGTTCATGGAGCTGAAAGACGTCAAGCGTGTTATGTCCTTCGGCGGCTGGGATTTCTCTACCGGGTTGGATACATATATGATCTTTCGCGAGGGAACTACTGCAGCACACAGATCCACCTTGGTAGAGAACATAGTTAACTATGTTTCTGATACCGGTCTTGATGGTATCGACATTGATTGGGAGTATCCAGGCGAGCCAGATATCGCAGGCATTCCGGCCGGAAGCGATGACGAAGGAGATAACTACCTTGCTTTCCTCAAAGCGCTCAAGGCCGCCCTACCTGACGACAAAATTCTCTCAATTACGGCTCCTTCCTCGTACTGGTATCTCCAAGCCTTTCCAATTTCCGAGTGGCAGATGTAGTGGACTTTATTAACTACATGACCTACGATCTGCATGGAACCTGGGATAAGGAAATTACCTGGGCAGACAATGACTGTACAGCCGGAGACTGTCTTTTCTCTCATGTCAACATGACCGAAACCGAATGGGCCCTGGCCATGTTGACCAAGAGTGGAATTGCCACTAACCATTTTGGTCGGAGTGGCTAGCTATGGTCGCTCTTTTGAGATGTCTGAAGCAGGCTGCTATCATTGCAGTTGCACATAAACTGCCGCAGGATTGGCAGGAGAATGTACCGATTCCGCGAGATACATCTCAAATGCAGAGATCAACCGAATCCTTTTGACCAACGACAGCTCTGAGGCTTACTCGGATGGAAATGTGACCGACTTTATCGTCTACAATGACACTCAATGGGTCGGTTACATGACTAATGACACCAAGACCAAGCGCGCAACTTGGTACGAGGGCTACAATTTTGGTGGTACAGCCGAGTGGGCCGTTGACCTCGAGGAGTTTGTGATTAATGATGAGAGCTCTTCCTCCGGTAGCTCAGGAAGTTCAGGCAGCTCAGATACAGCAACACTCACGGTCGATCCGGAAATCTGGCAACAGCCAAGTCCCGCCGTGACCTGCGCACCGCCCCGTTTGATGACCATGCCCCCCCCTACCTTTGACCTACAACACCACAATTACCTTCCCCCATAGAGGACTCATCTTACATGGAGCTCTATTGCGTCTTCTACCTCTGCCAATAGAGCTGGAAACATCACTACGGTTTCGTATTTCAGCAATATTCTGGTCCCGTGGCTGATCAACATCGAGCCTGGTATGTTATCATGTTATCCTTCGAATTCTACGCGCACAGGTATCCCAAACACTGACCTGTTGACACAGTGAGAACCGATTACATCAATTTGTGGAACCAACAGATTTCTGCGGGTCAGACAGCCGTTTACCAGACCAGCTCAGTGGCTCCAAGGCCTTTCGCTATCACCTACACACCGTGAGTCCCGATCTCAGTTCCAGTGACCCTTTCATAGAAAAGCCAAGTCAAGCTAACCAGAGCAGAACGGTCGGAGGAAACACTACCGTCATTGATGGCACCACAGGCGTCATCCCCGGATTAGAATATTCCTCTGGGAACATCACCTATACCACACAGAACTACACTGGAGTTTAGGGAGGTACCACATCTGTCAGCGGTGGAACCACTCAGCCTGCGCAGACTTCAACTGTGACACATGTGGCCTATCCGACAACGACTGACAAGACACCTGATCCGATTTTGAACACTGTTAAAACCACCGTGAAATCGGCTTCCGACTCCTCGAGCTGGTGTCCTAAGGCAACTAGTGGCACTGAGCATACTGGTTCAATCTGTATGTTCCAGACTCCATTCTAATATCCCATTGACAGATGTTCGAAATGGAATAATTTGGCTAATAAAGAATATAGGCACGATACACTGCCTTGGAGGCTGCCCTTTTTGCCCTCCGAGTCTTAGCATTGATATCGATGGTGGTGGTGGTGGCGGCGGAGGGGGTAGTGACGACGATGACAAAAGGACGATAAAACCATCGTGACAGAAAGCGCCTACACCACAACTATGACCACAGACGGCAAGATAACCACAATAACCCATAGTGCCACGACAGAAACTGAGACCAAGAGTGAATCCACTACCACCACTGAGACCACATCCACCATCACAGTCGGCCTGGTAGTTGGTACTTACACCGCGTTTGCCGAACCTACGAGCTCATTGGGTACCTCAACGGTGGACATTACAAGCCTGTCAATCGCCACACTTCAGTCAAAGCTCTTCTCGTCTCTTTATTCCGGTGAGTAATACTCGCTCACAGGCAGCCTGTACACCACAACCACGTCCACATCGACAACTTCCACCTCAACGACCTCTAAATCTACATCAACCACCACATCAGCTTCGGCTACACCGTCAGAGCGGTTCATTATCACACTCACCGAAGATGACAACGAGCTTGGCAACCCTTACATCTAGGAATACTTTGATCCAACATACAGTGAGTCATACAGTTTTTGCGAGGATATTTTAGACACGCTCGGAGAAGGACCCTCAGATGGCGAGGGTCTTCCCAATGGCACCTTCGATATCTCGGTAGACATTCACAGAATGAGTGACTGCGTTTATGTGGGTACTACTGATGTCCCGGGTACATTCACTTGCCCCGGCGTTTCATCTACTGTGGACTGCATTAAGAGTCCACAGACAACGGGTGCGACGTGCTATGAGATTTCCGCCCCGGTTGAATACACTCCCAAGATCCAATGCTCTTGGTAGATTCGACCATGTCTCCACAGCCAAGCGGTGCAAAGTTGGATAGACGTGAGTGACTGAGGTATACATTTCACACCTACTTCTTTAATCACTTGGGCTATTTTTTTTTCGTTTTTGCGTTTTTTTTCAAAAGCTTATCTGTAAATTTCCTCAAATTATCAAACCTTGGGAAACTAACATATCCAGAATATGTGAAGGTATACCAACATACTCACCTGATCACACTGGAAGGCTATCCTGCCGATCTTACCAGCATCGCTTCATCGGGATCCATCCATCTTTAGACCTCGGAATTACCCTCGCGAGGGTCGGCTCAAAGATTTGACCCTCACCCGACCTCAACCCTCGCCGGCCCTCACGCGGCTGACTCTCACTGACCCTCATAGACCCTCATTTTCCATAAAGTTTCTACGCTTTACTTAAATCGGATGGACAAAAATGCCGATTCATCTAATAAAATACTGTTATTTACATCTTGTTACGGACCTGCCGGGCACCAATCGATCCTGGGGCCGCAACCAGTGACGGGCGGTCGTGCACCAACCGGTTGACAGCCATCGGGATCACGTGACGACCAATCAGAATACTGAAGGAGCGCTGCCAAGACAAGGCGCCCTTTTCGGCCCTTGATTTACCAGCACTCAGAATACATAATAAGAGGCTTTCTTTAAGATCATCATTATGATCTTTAATCTCTTTTACTTCCTGCTCTCTAGTCTCTTCTCATATTAACAACGGTAATAACTTATTTCTGCTGGTTATTTCATATTGTACTGTAGCTATAGAAAAGAAACTAGAAGCTATCACAAATTTGAGAGTATTTAGTACTGAGTTAGAGATAACTGGTGACAATCATTCACCAATACAGCTTGTGGGTCAGCTTGAGGAATATCAGTATATCAATAACTTCCTAATTCTGTATTTAGTACAACAATATTCTCTTTTGCAAGCATTCCAAGATAAGCAGGGAATGAACTCATTTGAACTTATAAGGCTAATAGATACAGATCAAAACTACAAAAGCTAATATATTAGACATGTGTTATCTATTGTTCATTAGGCATAAGCATAAATAAAACTATCATTGAAGTTAACGTGGAATAGTTATAAAAAGAACTAGCTAGATAAGGCGAAATCAGAATCCTTGAAGATTATTTTTATGTTCAGGTCTATTAAGAAATATGGATGAAGTCATTGATATAATGAAACTCAATCATAGTCATAGTATTACTTAAATATACCGATTTAGTTGTGGTCTTAAAATTTAGACAAATTGATTCATTTTAATTGAAATTTAAATGACATCTTATGGCCTAATTGGTATTATCTAGTAGCTATTTAGGCACTTCTATCTAATTGTAGTATGATCTCATTTGAACGCCTAAAAAAACTCACATATAACAAACATAAGCAAGCTAATTACCGAAATAAGAGAGAGGTACCAGCTCTATACGTGACCAAATTCGTAGCCTAAAAAAAAAAAGAAACTTGGTCCTAGTTGTGACTCAGTATGAACATAGCGCGTCGAAGCACTATCTACCCTTGTAATATCTTGCTATCTTATTCATATCATTGTTCCCGACCTTACAATATATCTATCTTTACTTCCTCCATTGGCCTCCCGGCTAAATCCTATAGCGGTTAGATGAGACCCCGTTCTTCAATCTCCTTAATTTAGGCTACATCATTTTCATGTGTGATTCTAAGAGGGCGTCTAATTAGGTACAGTATATTGAAACAGCGGATTGAGATTCTCTCTGCTCTAAGCCATGCAATTAAGTTCTGGTAAGTATCTAGCATCTTCGAGACCCCCTAATATGTATTAAAGTCATAAATACTTATATAAAGAGATGAATCTACTGAAATGCAAGAAGAAAAGTTATTATATTATCTGTAAATACTCGTAGACTTGAAACTCTGTATAATTTGATACCATAAAAAGGTACTATCACTAGTGAATGGAGCAGTTTATAGCAACGATATCTTACGTATCATAGGGCTAAATTGATTCAGTAGACCAATTTAGAAAGATATACCCTCTAAATTAGTAACATACAGCGTAGACTCTTTTAACATATTTCCATACTACAAGAGGATCTTTCGATGAGATACCGATAAACTTCATGATAACGTAAAAGAAATACAAAAGGATTAATATAATTAATGGGCTTCGCTTAGGTCAAAACAGCCACCACTTTATTTAGGTTACAGTATTTTCGATATATTCTATTGTATATATGATTAGAAGGTAAGCGACAATGAGCAAATACAATGTTGTTCTTACAACTATTTGGGTCAGAATGAGAAGCTCTAGTCTTACAGAGTAGTAAAACTTCATACTAAAATTGGTGTCGTGTAAAGCAACGATGAGAGTCTGTGTATTACCAGTCTTTCTGCAAATTCTAGTAGCTAGCAATACGCGATATACTTAAAGACGGACTGACAATTTAGCTATATTTTTCATAAATCGATCTAAGTATTTCTGTATCTTCTAGATAATTCCAACTCGAAGGGGCGTATAAGAATAAGGCTTAATCTAGGTTTGTGTGAAAAGCTAGATTCGATCTTCTCTTTGAAAAAATAAACTGAAAATTTTCAAGTGCATACAACTAGCTTATTGGATTATCGATAAGATATCTCTCTCTGTAAACAGATCATTAGATTTGGTAAAGACCAAGTCTAAGATATATATATACACATATAGAATCATGCTAAAATTTTCTTAATAAACACTTAAAAAAGATTAGATTACATCGTTACAGTAAGCCGTTATGTTACTAAGTAACGATACCAGACCGGGTTGTTCGCTTAGTTCTAGTTCTTTAAGTGTGAGTATGACAGCGGAATACGCACCGTGAGAGTAAAAATGGAGTCCGAAAGAGGTTGGGTGCTGGCTAAACCTTGTAAATACGGTTGAACGCGGAGAAAACTTCGATTCACTTTCCATATATATATTATTTAATTAAAAACCTAACCCACTAGGCTTAAGTAGTGTAGATACATACCAAGAAAAAAATGTATGTATGCCTCAACTATTTCCATTCTTTTGTGTAAATCTAGTGATATCTACTTTGTTATATTGACAGTATTAATATAAACATTTACTAACTATATAATATCAAGATCTGTACGTATTTTTATTTCACGTATTTACATGGATAAAATATAATTTAGCAAATCAATAATTGTACATAGAACTAAATTAAAGCCATTGAGAGTTATTAATATCTCTAAAGTATCAATATCGAAAAAAATAAGTTGATACTTTGTATTAACTCTAACTCCGTTAGACGAGTTTGAAGTAAGAGATTTATTTTCTTTGAACGCAAACTAATTAGGTAGTTTAAACTTATCTTGAACAAATAAAGGTTTATACTCATCATTAAGTATCTTTTTGATTTTAAGATATAGCCCTTCAGCTACATATAATCATGAAGTAATTCCAAATAACTGATCGATAAGTCAAGAAAACCTGTATGCTACAGTATATTTTATAGTAGTAATTCAAATTAATCCTAACAAAGGACAAGTGTTCTTTCCATTAATGCATGTATTCCATCATGTTTAATTTAGTTAATAATTTAATAGGATCAGTACCATATAGTTTTGCATCAACATCACATTTCATATGAGCATTCTCCTGTGTTTTACTGTTGTTTTAGGTGGTGCAACTATATTAGGTTTCCAAAGACAGGGTAAAAGTTCTTCTTTTTATTTGTACCTTCAGGTTGTCCTTTAGCTTTATTACCTTTATTAGCTTGGATTGAAATTATTTCATACATATCTAGAAATGTTTAATGAAGATTAAGATTAGCTGCTGACATATTAGGTTCCATGCTTTTGAGTATTTTAAGTGGATTCACTTATAATGTAATGACTAGTGGTGTGTTCTTCTTAATTTGATAACTTCTACCATTTATTGTTGCATTCTCTGGTTTAGAACTAGATATGCATGCAGTATTCAAGCTTACGTCTTTGTAGTTTTAGCTTGTTCATATATTAAAATAATAAAAAAACAATAAATATATTAGAGAATATTTATAATAGCAAAAATGATACCCATTATAAAAATCAGATATATAAGGCTATATATTGTTAAATATATAAAATATATAAAGATTTCATGAAAATAGAAAAGTCCAATACTTATTAGACGTATACACTTAAATATATGAATACATATTTAATAATGAAAGAAATTTAAGGATTCTAACAGAAAGTTAGATTTTACTCAGATACTAATAAGTACTAATAAAATAATAGAGAACAATAACACTACGTTTGATTTTCACTTGAAATTATTAAATCTAAAACAGAGACTGGCTTAATTATATTTAAAAAATATAATCTAAACTAATAGCTATCTAACAATTATATAGTAATTCATTCAGTGTATCATATATAACCGTGAATAAGAACTGAAAATTTAAGCAAAGTAAAAATAGTCTGCATAATATGTGATGTGATATATTATATAAAACCTCGAATTACAGGGTAAAAGATTACACATAACAAATGAGAATAGAGAGTCTGATGAAGGCTCTAACTGAACACTGTCCAAGTACTTGACATGCTAATCGAACGACTATTTAAGTTAATTAAATTTATACCGTTAATGCAAGACTACAGTAGTGGGGTAAAGGTCAGTTAAAGCTAAATTGGCTACCTTGAAGAAAAGGGTCAAATGTAAAATCCCTATATAT